GAATTGGAGGGTGAAATAAAGTATTTCTACATTTTTTATGGTGGGTAAAATGGGCATTGAACGGACGGAACCAACAAGGCCTTTCAAACAGTCACTAAAATACATTGTATTATTAATGTGCTCCGTTTAGAAAGTTCAAAGTTCGAACTACGACCTTTTAAGTGTAGGAGCCATTTAGCCCAAGAAATCGTGCAATTGGGTCGAGTAAAGAAAACGGGCTAGAATAACACCATACCGACTCACCCTCACTACCTCATCGACTATGAGCTGCCGCCATGTACCATAAACCTCACCCCTGATGCCTAAATATTTCTCCTCTGCCTGTCTTTACAAACCAAAATCTTAGAATCCCTCACTATTTCCGCAACTTCTGAGAATTTGTTGGAGTCATTTGGTAATCCTTTACTTTAGCCCTTGTTTCGCAGCTTAGCAACTGGGTAATCAATGTAAATTGATAAACAGAAGAGATTACGAAGATCCTTCATGAAATTGTAGTTTGATTTATATAATTTGGATGGCATTGAGGACAACTTTCCATAGAGAATTGAGCTTGCACTAGAGAATCCTAATAGTTGAATATAATTTTTTTTTTTAAGGATTTCCGATTGTGATTCAAATTGATATTTTAAAATATAAGTTGATACTATAGAATTACTTATAAAATTTGCTTTGCCTAGTCTTTTAAGCTAAACATCCTTTTCTCATCATGAACATAAGGATTTAAACTCAAAGCATTCTCTCAACATGAATATCAAAATTTTGATAAATGAAATGTAAGAAACTTTATATAAAAACAACATTATAAGAAAATATACATTGACTTGTCGAAATTTAAATTTTAGTATTGTCAACAACTAACCATTTGTGTTTCATACTTGGTCATGATAGATGTGATCTCTTTATACCAATAAGAATTAGATTCTTCACTTGAGGAGAAAACTCAAACCAATTGCAATTGCAAATGGCTTGAGCAAATTCATTTCCATTGAGTACAGATAATGAAAGGGTTTAGGAGGCAGCATGATGGCCACTCCTCTTCTAGCATTTTCACTATTGTACTCATTGGTGACCTTGCCTTGGGTGAATCTTGAACACACCATAATGCTACCATGAACATTCTCTCTGCTTTTCCTCTATCCTTTTCTTCAATCCCACCGGTCTTTGTCATTTCAGCCAATTTACCTTTCTCATATTTTTCCCATACATGTTTAGGAAACCAATCAAGGCTTTCAAATGAACTCATAATTGTGTTTCTTCTCCTCCCAACAATCTCAAACAACATTCCAAAACTATACATATCACATTTATAAGTTATGAGATCATTCTTCAACAAATATTTTGGGGCAAAGTCACCAGGGGTTCCCCTATACCTAGTGTTCGAAACATGGGTAAAATCCGTATTGCAGAACTTTGAGAGCCCAAAGTCAACAACTTTAGGGAAAAAGTTTGCATCAAGGAGTACATTTGCAGCCTTTATATCATAGTGAATGATTCTTTGTTGACATTCTTCATGCAAATAAGCAATACCTTTGGCCGTCCCTGTTGCGATTTCTTGTAATTTTTCCCACTCAATCATCCCCTTCTCCCCAAACAAGTATTTATTAAGTGATCCATTTTCCATGAATTCATATACAAGCGCACTCATATAGTGATCATAGCAAAAACCATAAAGTCTAACCACATTAATATGGTATGTTCTTCCAATTGTGCCCACCTCCGCCATGAACTGCTCCTCTGCTGCTCTCTCAGAACTTCTCTCAAGCACCTTGACTGCAATCTTGACCCCATTCGGAAACTGCCCTTTGAGACTACACCTAATCCCCCAGATCCCAACTTGGTCGAGTAATTGCTCGTGAATGCACAAAGCTGCTGAGCAGTGAATCTTACCGGCTTCTCCGTCGCCATTTCTTGTAGGAACTTCATGGTGGGTGCATCAACCTCCCAAACTTGAACCACATGATGGGGTTGACTCACCGGCCGAGCAACTACGCTCCGCAAATCACTCACTATAGCTCTTCTGGCTCTCTTTGCACAGTAACAAGAGATTACTATGACGATCCCAAGTATCACCAAGTTCAAGATTAATTATCACAGCAAATCAATGTATCAAATGCCATTATTATCAATTTGGACAGGAAATTTCTAAGTCGGTCATGTTAAATGGTGCAAAAAAACTTACTGCCTCCTACTTTTCCATCATTGTCGCCATCAGGTGGGGAAGGAAGGGTAGTCCGAGGAAGACATTGTGAAAGAAGAAGCTTGTTCGTCTGACTTCTGAAATCACGGAAGTTATGTAAATAGAAGAAGCTCGGTAGGGCCTGAAGCATTGATGTCCACGGAGATTAATTACAGTACGCAAAGATACTTCCTTCCAGCTCAATTCCTCTTTCGTAATCTACGGACCCGACATCTCCGCCGTCCATTGAATATTTAGAGCTACTTATGTTTGACATTTCAACCTTTTTTTTTTTTTTAATGGGAATTTTCCATGCAAAGTGCAAACTCAACGAGGCTACTAGGTTCTAGGCTCTAGGCTGTAGGGTCGGGCTACCCCAAGAATTCGTGCAACTGGTGGAGTAAAAAAATATTAATTATTTCACACAAAAAAAAGTGTTTATGACTTTATGCGTCAAATTTTTTAAAAAATAAAAAAAAAAATTTTA